GCAGTTGAGCAGTCTGCGTGGGGAGTGTTGGACGGCGGGCCACCTGGCTGCACCAGCGCCCGCCAGCTGTCCAGCCTGCTCACCTACAGCACCCACCGCGTTGGGACGCGGCCAGACCGAAAGCCAGATGGCCAAACCGAAAGCCACGCGCCCCACACCCGCGCCAGCTGGCAAAACCCAACGGTCAGCTCCCCCGACCCAATGCCATCTGTCAGCACCCTCCAGCTGGCGGCGACATCTGGCAGCCACCCGCCATCTGGCCATTCTCCCATGCATGCATATAATCCCCTGCATTTCGCCTTGTTTGTCATTCTCTCCTAGTGCCCTTCCTCAGTGACTGCCCTCTGCAGTCAGGTGTAAAGCCCTTCTCTCACAACAGGTTATGGGCCCCAACCCCCGCTGCCCCAACTGAACCCCAAGGAAGTTTCCCCTTTGTACCTTCATCCCTCACCATGGCTGCGGAAGCCAGCAAGCCCGTGGTTGAGTGCCTGGACGTGGACAACTATGCCACCTGGCGGATCCTGATGAAGTACGTCCTCATCTCCAAGGGCCTGTGGGCCGCTGTGGAGAGCGACACGGTCGAGCATGAAGCTGACCAGAAGGCACTGGCCACCATCGGCCTGTACGTGAAGGAGCACCACCTGTCCACGCTGGAGCGCTGCGGCACCGCCAAGCGAGCGTGGATGGAGCTGGAGAGAGTCTACCAAGCTAAGAGCAACGCGCGCAAGCTGCAACTACGCATGCAGCTGAGCCAGCTGAAGATGGGCGCCACCGAGCCCCTGACCAAGTATGTGTCCCGTGCCAAGGAGATCCAGGCCCAGCTGCGCGCTGCCGGCCAGGATGTGGCAGACACCGAGATTGCCTGGTCCGTGATGTCCGGCCTGCCGTCTGCCTATGCAACGATGGCCACCGTGATCACCGCCACCACCGACGGGGACCTGAGCCTGGATGACATCCTGCCCAAGCTGCTCACCGTGGAGCACAACGAGCAGAAGACAGAGCGCCCCAGCGAAGAGGCGCTGATGGCCAACGCTCAGGACCGCCACGCCGGGCCGGGCCGTCCAAGCAACCACCCCGGTGGCAAGTCCAAGGGCCCCTGCTTTCATTGCGGCATCCTGGGGCACCACAAGTTTGAGTGTAGGAAGCTGGCGCAGGAGCGCAGCCAGCAGCAGCAGCAGCGGCGGGCAGACCAGCAGCGCCCACGCCGCCAGCAGCAGCGCCCGCACCAGCGGTTTGCCGCTGCCATTGCCCTGTCAGCCTCAGCAGGGCCCCCGTGCCTGGGGCCACCCAGCAGCGGACGGGGGGGTGTCCTCAACACCAGGTGGAGCAGCCAGAACAGGATCAGCCGGCGCAGCCACAACATTAGCCGGAACAGCTGCAGCACCAGCCAGGGCAGTGACAGCTCCCAACGCTGGGTGCTAGACACCGGTGCATCTTGCCACCTTACTCACGACTCCTCTGTTCTGCTCGACCCCTACCTGCTGAAGGAGGCCATCACCATCACCTTTGGCAACGGCGGCACTGGCAAAGCCACCACTGCCGGGCACGTGCTGCTGCACACGCCCAACGGCCCCTTCATCCTGCGCGAGGGCATCGACTACGAGGAGGTCTTCGCCTTCGCCCCCGTCAGCAAGTTTACCACCCCGCGCACCCTGCTGTCCATCGCTGCCACCAACGACTACGAGATCCACCAGCTGGACATCAAGACTGCTTTCCTCAACGGCGACCTGGAGGAGGAGGTGTACATTCAGCAGCCCCCTGGCTACGAGGAGGGCAACAACGACATCTCCTGCCACCTGAACAAGGCACTCTACGGCCTGAAGCAGGCGCCCCGGGCCTGGCACAAGAAGCTCAAGTCCGTGCTGGAAGAGATGGGCTACATCGAGTCAAGCGCCGACCCCGCTCTCTTCATCAAGCCCGGCGCCGACCCCATCTACCTACTCATCTATGTCGACGACATACTGGTCGTTTCGATCGACGTCGCCGAGCTGCAGTCCACCAAGGTCCAGATCCTGGCTGCCTTCGACGCCCGCGACCTGGGCCCTGTCACCTACTTCTTGGGCATGGAGATCATCCGCGACCGCGCCAACCGGACCATCAAGCTGGCACAGAAGCGCATGACGGCTGACCTGCTGACCAAGTTCAACCTGGGTGAGGCCAAGCCCCTGAGCACCCCACTCAGCACCGCCACCAAGCTCACCAGCGTCGGCGAGCCCATGGACGCACGCACCCCCGGCTATGCTCAGCTGGTTGGGAGCCTGCTGTATCTGTCAGTCTGCACACGCCCCGACATCGCCCAAGCCGTGGGAGCTCTCGCCCGCTACATGTCCAAGCCCAGCCTCGCCCACTGGCAGGCAGCCAAGGGCGTGCTGCGCTACCTGGCGGGCACCGCCAACTACGGCATCACCTTTGGCGCTGGCGGCCCCGGGCTGGAGGCCTACTGCGACGCAGACTACGCCGGCGACATCGACACCCGGCGCTCCACCACCGCCTACTTCTTCATCCTCAACGGCGGTGCCATCAGCTGGTCCAGCCGCCTGCAGCAGACCGTGGCGGCCTCCACCACCGAGGCCGAGTACATGGCGGCAGCCGCCGCCATCAAGGAGGCCCTCTGGCTGCGCACCCTGTTGGGCAACCTTGGCCAGCCCATCCAAACCATCCCCATGCTGGCTGATAGCCAGGGCGCCATCAAGCTGCTCAAGAACCCCGTCTTCTCCATGCGCTCCAAGCACATCGACGTCATCTACTGTTGACGGGAGGTATTTACAAAGGCAGCAAGAGTAGTAAATTCGCACTAGAGGCGGCGTTAAATAGATCTGGGGTGGAGGAGCATATTCCCGGCATATACTTGGGATATTCCTGATACGATGCGGGTACGATGCGGCACAAAGGCATCATGGTATCGGTGAGCATAATGGCTGGGTCAGGTGCACGAAAGGGAGTGGCACAAGTGTCGATCAACTGGGAATGGGGTGGGGAAACACAATTTGCGGTGTCTGGGGCGGGAAAGGCGGGAATGAGGGTATCAGTGCAGCGGATGTGTAGACTGGACACGTGGCATTGTCACAGCTCAACATCTACCACTTTGCCCGCGAGCGCGTGGCACGCAACGACGTTTCCTTCTCCTACATCAAGACTGACCACATGGTCGCCGACTCCCTGACCAAGCCCGTGCCGGCAGCCAAGTTCGACTACTGCCGCACCGCCATGGGCATCACCCCCTGCAGTTGAGCAGTCTGCGTGGGAGTGTTGGACGGCGGGCCATCTGGCTGCACCAGCGCCCGCCAGCTGTCCAGCCTGCTCACCTACAACACCCACCGCGTTGGGACGCGGCCAGACCGAAAGCCAGATGGCCAAACCGAAAGCCACGCGCCCCACACCCGCGCCAGCTGGCAAAACCCAACGGTCAGCTCCCCCGACCCAATGCCATCTGTCAGCACCCTCCAGCTGGCGGCGACATCTGGCAGCCACCCGCCATCTGGCCATTCTCCCATGCATGCATATAATCCCCTGCATTTCGCCTTGTTTGTCATTCTCTCCTAGTGCCCTTCCTCAGTGACTGCCCTCTGCAGTCTGGTGTAAAGCCCTTTTCTCACAACAGGTTATGGGCCCCAGCCCCCGCTGCACCAACTGAACCCCAAGGAAGTTTCCCCTTTGTACCTTCATCCCTCACCATGGCTGCGGAAGCCAGCAAGCCCGTGGTTGAGTGCCTGGACGTGGACAACTATGCCACCTGGCGGATCCTGATGAAGTATGTCCTCATCTCCAAGGGCCTGTGGGCCGCTGTGGAGAGCGACACGGTCGAGCATGAAGCTGACCAGAAGGCACTGGCCACCATCGGCCTGTACGTGAAGGAGCACCACCTGTCCACGCTGGAGCGCTGCGGCACCGCCAAGCGAGCGTGGATGGAGCTGGAGAGAGTCTACCAAGCTCTGTTGCCATGAGGCGGTCGCCTTGGCGCATGCCAGCGGCGTGCGATGCGGCGACTTGTTGCTTGAGCTGCAGGTTGGTGTGCGAGATTGCAGCCACCTGCTCTTGCAGGCTGTCAATCTGCTGCTGCTGATGCTGCAGCTTCTGCATGGCTTCCGCCAGCTGCTGCTGCAGCAGGCTGTAGGCTACGCTGGTGGGCTGCGAGGCCGCCGCCCCGCCCTCCGCCTCCGCTGCGACCTGCGGCAGTTGGGCGGCAGCGGAAGATGGTGTCAGGGCACCCACAAGAACGCTGCATACTTTCGCGGAGGAGGTGGGCAGGGCCTTGGGGGTGCCTGGCAGAGCCCCAAGGCCCTGCCCACCCGCGGCGCCCTCCTGCTCACTGCAGGCGCCGCCCTCCGCCGCTGCCGCCGCTGCCGCGAAAGCAAGCTGCCCAGGGGCGGCACTGCTGACGCTGCGGCGGCGGCTAGATGTTGTAGCAATGCTGGATCGGCGCAGCAGCGAACTCCCCTGGAGCCTCGTTGCCCGCCGCCCAGCACTCTCAGTGTCGATCAGGTCATCCAGCCTCTTGGTGAGCGCCGTGCGCCAGGCGCCCATGTCCACGGTAGACTTGGCCAGTCTGACATCATAACGCTTGGCGAGGGAGCGCAGGGACTCCAAAGCGAGTTTGCTGTTGGCGAGCTGTCTGTCCCGCTTGAGCTGGGCGAGCCACCCTGGGGTTCCCGGCGCCGCGGTGTTGGACGGCGGGCATGCTGCCCAGAGCTGGTGTGAGCTGCTGTGCTGGTGCCATCTGGTCTGGGGCTCGGTAGTGATGTATATGACAGCCTGGGATGCTGAGTTGGTGGGTAGCATGCAGATGGGAGCTGGCTGTGGCCACCGGGCGATCGGGTCGGCGAGCCAGCTAGCTTGCTGCCGCTACCCAAGCGGCACCGCATGCTGCCCAGAGCTGGTGTGAGCTGCTGTGCTGGTGCCATCTGGTCTGGGGCTCGGTAGTGATGTGTATGCCAGCCTGGGATGCTGGGTTGGTGGGTAGCATGCAGGTGGGAGGTGGCCTGAGTATGCCAGCAGGACTGGCAGCAGGGGGTCTCGCTGCGCCGCCACCGCCGCCACGCCGCCACCTCAGAAGCTGTTGCTGTGCCATGCTGGGGTGCAGGATGGCCCTGAGCTGCCACTGGCACTTCCAGGGATGTGTAATAGTGGTGGAGGGCAGGTGGGAGGTTCTGGAGAGGCATGGGTGGGGCATGCCAGCAGGGCTGGCAGCAGGGAGTCTCGCTGCGCCGCCACCGCCGCCACGCCGCCACCTCAGAAGCTGTTGCTGTGCCATGCTGGGGTGCAGGATGGCCCTGAGCTGCCACTGGCACATCCAGGGATGTGGAATAGTGGGGGAGGGCAGGTGGGAGGGTCTGGAGAGGCATGGATGGGGCATGGCAGGAGGCGAGGTCATAGGTGGTGGCGGTGGTGGCGCCGCCGCCAGGCAGTTTTTTTCAAATCGACGTTTTGGGGCATGTTGAGGCTCCTGGGGGTATTTTGGGGCGCAGAATCGGATTCCCCAGGTCAAAATACCCCCAGGGACACCTGGAGCCCCCAAAACGGGGTGGGCCCAGCCAGCACAGCTGAAATGTGAGCTATATAGGTGTATGTAGGGTGCATTACTACTCACATTGTGACATCCATGTAGGGTGTATTATAGGGGGTCAAAAGGTATCCTAGCTGGGAGAGGGTAGGACAGCATGCGACAGGGCCATGCCGACGCCAGCCCCCGGGGCCCCTTGACTTGACTTGACTTGACTTACAGAGCGGATTCGGAGCCAACGAGGCTCATACACGCATTGCGGCGGCGTAAAACATGGCAGTCATTGATAAATGAAGCAACTCTATTCTGGTCTTGGGACAAAAAGCATGGGATGGACGTGGGCAAATCAGGGGGGAAGAGATCTGCGTACTCAAAGCGCAGATGGTCGTAAATGGGGCAGTGGAAAACCATATGGGTCTCGTCTTCAATGGCGGGAGAAGCACACAAGAGGCAGGTGCGTTCATGGGTGGAGGCCTGGATGGCCTTTGGCAAATAGCGTTCCCGTTCGATGCGAAGGTCATGGCAACTGGTTCTAAAGCGAGTGAGGGCGATACGGAGATTGGGGTCATAGACTTCAAGCAAGTGATGTGCTGGTTGGGAGAGGGGCAGGCCGCCGCGAATGTGCTGTAAGTAGTAGGCAAATTTGTTGGTACTGCTGGGTGTTACTGGGAGTTGCTGCTGTTGGCTGATGTTGCTGGCTGCTACTGGCTGCTGCTGGCTGCTGCTCTCGGGCTCCGGCTTGGTCAGCGCCAGCTCCAGGGACTGGCGAAGGTAAGCTGCTGCTGCGCGCTCCACCACGGTCTTCTCATCCAGCTCGCGGGCAAAGTGGTAGATGACGTCGATGTGCTTGAGGATACCTTTTGACCCCCTACAATACACCCTACATGGATGTCACAATGTGAGTAGTAATGCACCCTACATGCACCTATATAGCTCACATTTCAGCAGTGCTGGCTGGGCCCACCCCGTTTGGGGGGCTCCAGGTGCCCCTGGGGGTATTTTGACCTGGGGAATCCGATTCTCCGCCCCAAAATACCCCCAGGGGCCCTGGCGCCCCCCAAACGGGGTGGGCCCAGCCAGCACTGCTGAAATGTGAGCTATATAGGTGCATGTGGGGTGCATTACTACTCACATTGTGACATCCATGTAGGGTGTATTGTAGGGGGGTCAAAAGGTATCCTCAAGCACATCGACGTCTTCAACCACTTTGCCCGCGAGCTGAATGAGAAGACCGTGGTGGAGCGCGCAG